GTAAGATATGACAAAATAACATCTTATAAATTATCAAGTGTTCATGAGGGAGAGCGGAGCAGGGAGTGAGGGGGAAAAATGAGGAGCTGATGCCAGGGCCTTAAGTGGAGAGCAAATGTGTTGAGAATGATGAGGCCAACGAATGTACAAATGTGCTTTACACAATTGATGTATGTTTGCATTATGACAAGAGTTGTATGAGCCCCTAATAAAATGATTTTTTTAAAGTTAAAAATTAGAAAGAAGGTAACAATGGCCTTTATTCACAGGTAGCAAAGTGTAGTAGAAATACCAAAGAATCCATAAAAATATAATCAAATTTTAAAATATGTTTAGAAAGAGCACCCATATATAGTCAATATACAAAAATCAATAATCTTTCTAAATATGGTCACGAAAGTAGTCAATGGAACTTAACAATATCACCCAACATGTAAAGATAAATTTAGTAGACATGTGTAAAACCACTACACTGAAAATATATATAAATTTTGAGAATATTTTTAAAGACCAAAATAACTACAGGATAACTCTCTGTCATGGATTTCAGACAGAATCTCTGTAAGAAGACAATTCTTCAACCTTTGCTTTATCACTTAAATGTAATTCCAATCAACATCTCATCAGGTAGTTTGAAAAGTGAGAAAATGATTTTTAAAGTATGTAGTTACACGACATCCCTCACTGACCCATGGCCCTACAGGGGACATCGCTGGAGACACAATGTGGGAATGGCGCCCTATCTGACCCTACCACACCGAGGCAAAACCGTAAGGGCATGCAACCAAGCAGCAAGGGGAACAGAGCAACAAAGCCCCCAGGGAATACCAAAATTAAACTTTGGGGCCAGGCCATGGCACCCCATCAGACTGGACTAGAAAACACTCCTAAAAGTCAACAAGCAGACCTCTAACTATTTACTGGATTTTCTTTTATTTCGTTATTAGTTGATTCTTGTTTTGTTTTCTTTGTTGCTTTGTTTTTCTCTGCTTTTTTGTGCATATCATTGTCTCTTCATGTCTATCTAGATAACATAGACAGGATAAACAATACGGAGGAGAAAACAATGGAACCCATGGTTCCGGGGAGACATGGAAGAAGGATAGGCGGGTGAAAGAAAGTAGGTGTTAACAAACTCAAGTACAAGGGAACAAGTGATCCAAAATTGGTGGCGAGGAGGGTGTAGGAGGCCTGGTAGGACTTGATGAAGGGCAATGTAATCGAGAGGAATTACTGAAACCCAAATGAAGGTGGAGCATGATAGTGGGACAAGAAGAAATGAAAAGGAAATAGAGGACAGAACTAGGAGGCAAAGGACATTTATAGTGGTTTAAATACAGGCATGTATATATGTAAATATATATATAATGGGGAAATAGATCTATGTACATATATTTATAGGTTTAGTTTTAAAGTAGCAGATAGACATTGGGCCTCCACTCAAGTACTCCCTCAATGCAAGAACATTTTGTTCTATTAAACAGGCATTCCATGATGCTCACCTTCCCAACATGATCGCTGTAAAGACAAAGCAGGTGCATAAGCAAATGTGGTGAAGAGAGCTGATGGTGGCCCTCTATCAAAACATATAGCATCTAGGGTCTAAAGGCTCGAAGATAAACAAGCAGCCATCTAGCTCAGAAGCAACAAAGCCACATGGAAGGAGCACACCAGCCTTTGTGGTCATGAAATATCTATGGGATCATATATCAGGCATCAAAGAACCAAATATCATATCATTGTGAATGAGAGGGAGTGTGCAGTGGGGACCCAACGCATCTGTAGGCAACTGGAGAACCCCGTACAGAAGGGTCTCAGGGAGGAGATGAGCCAGTCAGGGTGCAGTGCAGCAATGATGAAACATACAACTTTCCTTTAGTTCTTTAATGCTTCCTTCCCTCCACTATGATGATCCCAATTCTACCTTACAAATCCCCCTAGACCAGAGGATGTACACTGGTACAGATAGTAATTGGAAACACAGGGAATCCAGGACAGATGAAACTCTCAGGACCAGCGATGAGAGTTATGATACTGAGAGAGTAGAGGGAAGGTGGGATAAAAAGGGGAAACCCATCACAAGGATCTCCATATAACCTCTTGCCTTGGGGACAGACAACAGAAAAGTGGGTGAAAGGAGACATTGGACTGTGTAAAACCTGACAAAATAATAATAATTTATAAATTTTCAAGGATTGGTGAAGGAGGTGAGACAGAGAGGGAGAGGAAAATGAAGAGATGATGCCATGGGCTCAAGTAGAAAGAAAATGTTTTGAGAATGATGATGGAAACAAATGTGCAAATGTGCTTGTCAAAATGGAAGTATGCATTGATTGTGATAAGATTTGTATGAGTCCCCAATAAAATGATTTTTTAAAATTATGTTGTCATAAAACAGATTTAGAGTAGCCCAGAAAACCTGCAAAACAGAGCAAAATAGTATTAGGACATTTAGACTCCCATATACAAAATGACTATAAATTTAAAGCAATTATAGAGTTTTCTATTATAAACATAATCACTTCAACATGAATACATAATAGTAGAAAAATATCACAAGTTATCTGATTTATGATGAAATGAAAAACGTTCTTTTTTCAATTAATTGCACTGATTTAATTGGATATCTATTTGAGTAAAGTGAATAAATAAATCCACCTCACACTATACACAAATTATATTTTCTATGGATTATAGACCTAAATGTGAAAAATAAAGCAATAAATGTTCTAGAATATAATCAGTATTATTTTAATAATTCTTGTCTTACAGTGAGTTTTAAATATTTTCAGCCTGGATTATTCTATGATATCATTATTTTATAGCTACTTGTGAATTCATTTTAATTCTATTGGCTAAATTTATTATTATTTTTAAAATAATTTTATTCTGGCCTCATACAACTTATCACAATAGATACATACAGCAATTGTGAAAAGCACATTTATGCATTCGTTGCCCTTATCATTCTCAAAACATTTGATCTCCACTTTAGCCCTTGGCATAAGCTCCTCATTTTTACCCTCCCTCCCTATTCCCTCCTCCCTCATGAACCCTTGATAATTTATAAATTATTATTTTGTCATATCTTACACTGTCTGACGTCTCCCTCCACCAACTTTTCTGTTGTCCATGCCCCAGGGTGGAG